AGTCAGGTTGGTTTCAGTGAAGCTGCAAGCAAGAGAAAGAAGATTCCGTGTCTTTTTCTCTGTGTCTCCCCTCACCTCTGTCTCTAGGTCTGTCTCACTCTGAGAGTCTCTGTGTAGGCATATTGGTTTCAAGGGTCGCAGCCCTCAGGTGAGCCCTTCGGGCTGTTTGTTACAATGACACACCAGGGCTCTGCAGGGAGCTGGGTGTTTCACAGATGGTGTTCTTTGCTTGTAGCAAAGAAACTGTAAGGTATAACCACCACCAGAAGGCTAGCTGACTGTAGCTATTAATAATCCCTGGAAGGAAGCATAACAACAGCATGGGCCTTGAGGTAGATTTGGGGGTGTTGTGTTCCACTGAGCTGGGGTAAATATCCCTATACAATCTGCGTGTCTGGTGTGGATGGGAAAATGCCCTTGCATACATTAAGGAGAAATCTAGCATGCATCAAAGTGCCCAGCACAGGGCATGGCATGTTGCAAAGATCAATACATGCATGGGTTCAGCCAGGGGGGGCGGGGGGGGGAAGGGCGGTGTGCATGTTTTTTAAAAAAGGAAATGTCTCCCAGGCTGACAGCGGTGATGATATTAATAGAACTCACAGGACTTTGCACGGGCAGGGAAGGCAGCTCTCGTTCAACCTCACCAAAATTTTTAGCAGATGGAATGGAGTAGCTGGGAGTAAAGACAAAGCATCCCCCCTCACACGGGACCAAGAGTTGACACAGCCTAGGCTCGCTTTCCAGAAAGCAGCAGCAACCACAGCCCGGCATTGGGCTTTGACCTGCTGCTGAGCAGTTGGAAAGCATGTCCTGATCAGATCTAATTTAGCGTCCAGCCCACTGTAGATTGGATTTCTCCTTGTTAGACTGGAGACACTCTGATAAGAAGGCTCTGATTAGAATACCCTGGTAGTCTGGGTAATTTCCTCTCCTTTGACTCGAAGGCTTTTTGCGAGAGGTTTGTGTTTATTTTTCTCTCTCCATTTCTCCAATTACTGGTGCGTCACAAAGCCAAGCTGTCTCTGCCACGTGAAGTGATCGTGGCTATTTCCTTTCTTGTCATGAAGCTGCCCGTAGCGAAGTGGATACATTGAGTTGTCCTGCCTGCCCTCCCGTGTCCCATTTCTCCACATTTTTCAGCCATCCCACCAAATTTGCCCAGTCCCTGGATCATCCTCCTGGGTCGTTTTTTTGATAGGCTTGTTCCAGCAGATGGCCAACACTAGGAGTAGAATATCTCAGGCTTCAGAGTTTCTCAGAGGCTGCCTTTACAAATGGGTCTACGTGGAAAAGCTTCAGCAGTCCTGGGAGTGACCCCCTAAACCCGACGCCCTGTCCTCTGGGTGTCAGCCTCGAAAGAGTCACCTCCTTTAGTTTAAGTCCCAGAATCTTAGAGGTTAAAGGAACTTCGGGGCTCCAAGCACAGTCTCCTACCCGGTTGGTGCAGAAACCCCTCCCGTGCCCTCTATGACGAATTTGATCTATTCTTACTGATGGTGTTTGCAATAAGTCATAACTATGTACTGAGAAGGTTAGGAAGTTCTTTCTTTTTTTTTTTTTTTAAAGATTTTATTTATTTATTTGACA